CTCGCCACAAGGGCAAAGAAGCTGCGCAAGGAGACAGGCAACGCCGAGCTGTACGCCGAGCACGAACGTGTAGTCGCGCAAAAGTCGCTTCCGAGGACCATCTTGACTTCATCCACAAGGCCGTTCCAGCTGCTGGCGCGCGAGGCCATGCTGACGCTTCTGTGTCTCTGGTCTGCACTCTTGCTCGGCATCCTCTACTTGTTCTTCGTCGCTTTCCCGATCGTTTTCGAGAAGCACGGATTCAACCTCCAGGAGGTGGGTCTGTCGTTCATCGGCATCGGCATTGGCATGATGATTGCCGTTGCCACCATGCCGCTTTGGGCTCGCCACTATACGCGCCTCGTCAAGAACAAGGGCAACGGCGTTGCTGAACCCGAGTTCCGCCTGCCAGTCGCTATGGTCGGAGCCGTCCTTCTGCCCATCGGCATGTTCTGGTTCGCATTCACCACCTACCCGTCGATCCACTGGATCGTACCGATTCTCGGTACCGTGGTTTTCGGCGTCGGTATCAGCTACATCTTCACGGCCGTATTCACCTACACCACACATGCGTACAGGCCCGTGGCGGCATCCGCCATGGCGGCCAACTCGTTCTCGCGCAGCTCCTTTGCCGCAGCCTTCCCGCTGTTTGCAAAGCAGATGTACGTCGGCATGACCATCCAGGGCGCATCCGCATTCCTCGCCGGTCTCAATGTGCTCATGATCCCAGTCCCCTTCGTCTTTTACAAGTACGGCAAACAGATCCGCGCACGCAGCCAGTTCACGCTCACGTAGCGCGTGTCCCCAGACGCTGACTTCGAAACATCGCATGCTCATCCTGTCTAGGCATCATCCGTACATCTGCATACATGCCTCTCTGTAATACTAGCAACTAGAGCTTCATTTTTGCATCGTCGTCCGACCTTTCTTCGTGTGCGAGCACTCCGACGAGATGAGGACTTGCGCAGCCGCGGTAGCATTGTTCGTGAAGAATTGATTAAGGGGGGGATTGATGAGATAGCTAAATACAAGAATGATCGGATGAGGGAATACTAAGCCTTGGCGACAGCGACGTTTCCTTCGCCGCCGGCAGCCTCTTCGGTCTTCTTGGCGGCGGGGGCGTGGGTGAAGAAGAGGAGGAACACCATCAACCACATGGGCAGCACGTAGACCAAATTGAAGATGAGCGGGGTCTGCGGGGTGCCTCTGCTGGCCATGGTGAGCTGGAGCTGTTCCCAGTCGATACCCTCCGAGTTGGGGCCGTACATGCCCTGCGGGGCGAGGGAGAGGCCGTTGGCGACGCGCTGGTTGTCGGTGGTGGTGTTGGACGAGCCGCCCTGGAAGAAAGGCAGGAGATCGTTGGCATCCAACGAGCCGCCCTGCTCTGCCGAGATGCGCGTGGTGGCATGCAGCGCCTGCAGCAGCCTATACACGGTCGCCACGAACAGCAGGATGAGCAGGATAAAGATGAATCCACCGGGACGCAAGCTTCCCGCATCGCCCCTTGCGACGGGGATCAGCAGTGCAGCGCCCAGAATCACGATGATCTCGATGATCGCACCCACAACAGGCGCAATGCGCGTCACCTTGGGCGGGATGATGTCCGGCAGGTCCTGCGCGGTCTGCGTCATCTTGAGTGCGTTCTCCCACTTGTCCAACCAGCTGGCGTAGTACGCCGCTGCAACAAGGAAGAGCAGGAAGACGATGAAGTTGAGGATCCTCAGCACCAAACTCGCCGTGGGTACACCCGACGGCCTTCCGCCCTGCTTTGAGTACAGACCAAGCAGATGCAGCAGCGGCTCGAGGAGCAGCGGCAGCAGAACGGCCAAAATGATGCCTTCCACGTTCATCATGGACGTCGTCGGCGTGTTGTTGGCCAGCTTGGCGCGAACGCCGAATCCGATGAGCATGAGCACCATAAACACGATGATCGTGATGAGCACCATGGAGATCAGACTCGACCTACGCAGCAGTCGGATGAGCAGCAGCGGGATGAGCGCGATGGTCGCCAGGATCCACACGATGCTCGCGATGAGGTCGCCGTTCTTGTACGGCACGCCGCCGATCTGCACGTCGAGCCAGCCCAGGTCGGGCGAGTTGGGATTGTTGATGTTGCCCGGCGCCTCGCCGTTGCCCGAGTCCGAACTGCCGCGGCGCGGGATCGACGACACATTGAGGTTCGACGTAGGGCCAAAGTTGACACGCGTCGTCGAGGGCGGCTCGAGCGTGACGTACGAGGTGAAGAGCGGGAACAGGTTCGACGACACCAGCAGCGAAGTGTACGCCGGGCCCGCAGGGTCGATTGGGTATTGGCGACGCGAGAGGTCGCCGTCCAGGCGTGGCTCCGGGGTTGGTGCAGCACGAACAGCGTTCCTGCGCATGGGGGTAGGAGCAGCATTGACAGGCTCGAAGGCGCTGTCTCCAACGCTGTCTAGGGCCTGCTCGGATCGAGCGCCCGTCGCGGCCGGGGCGGGAGCGTTGACACTGCACAGCGTGGCAGCCGCGTCGCCTGAAGCGTCGCTGCCCAGACAACCAAATGCGCCGGGGTCGTACGTCCAGCTCTGGACACCGCCATCAGCGGTCGAGTCTCCAGCGACTGCGCCGACCTCGCCCTCGAGCTGCGACTCCTGCGCCGAGCTAAGCGTGTCGCTCGCCACCTTGTCCGTGGGAGCTGCTGTGGCCTCTACAGCCTGTACGATGGCAGATGGAGTCTGGGCTGTCGACGCGGCATCAGTGGCAGCAGCACTGGCTGCTGTTGCTGAGCTGAGCGCCGAGACTACGGCAGGCGTGACGTCGCCGCTCATGCCCACTGCCGACTGGATGGCATTGGCATTCGCACCCGTCATCGTGGCAAACGATCCGTCGGCGCTGATGAGCTTGAGCACCTGAGCCTCCACCTGGCTCAGCATGGATGGATCTTGACGTTTCCCCCACAGGTTGCTTGGGAGCGTACTTGCATCGGCAAACGTGGCGGTCGTGACAGCTGTAGCGACCGCAAGCATGGCGACGACGCCAGCGGCTCTGCGCCGACCACTCTGGCGCAGAGCTGCTTTCGAGTCCCTAGTCATGGCTACACTCGATATGTCCTCGCTTGAGACTGCGTATGACGGTAGGACAGAAGGAAGCATCCAGTGAAGACAAGTTCAAGAGTCAGCCTTTGCAAGAGACTTGGCGATCCATCGTCTCAGTCATCAACGACTTGATCGGCCGAGCGCAGGGTCTCGGCGACGACGTTCCGCATCCTCGTGCGACCCGAGCCTCTGGCTACGTATGGGAAGCGAATGTGGCGATCGGTCGAGCTCTGACTGAGCCTGGAGTTCGGTCCCTGCGAAAGAGGTCCGGTGCTGGGGTGCGGTACTTACGAACTTGGGAGGAGAGCCGAGTTGGATCCGAGACAAGGGTTGGAACGCGCGACTTCGAAGGCCTGTCGGACAGCGCGAGTCGGGCTGAAAAATGCGGAAAATAAAAAAAGGGCCCGAATTACCGCTGAAAAATGCCAAAATCGATGCGGATGGCAGGCTTGAAGCGGCGATGAGGAGAGGTGGTCTTCCAGAGACCGAGGGCGAGGGGGCGGAGGGGGAAAGTGACGCCGGCTAGGTCGAGTCGTCGGTGAAGCCAAGAATCCAGTTCCTGGGCAACAGTGAGACAGATGGACAGACCAGGTCGAGTCGGGAGGAGCTCGGCTGGCTTTGCTGCTGTATTGGATTGGTTGCGAAACAGTGCAGGCTTCAAGCGCTGGACTGTGGTGAAGAAATACGATTCGACTTGCGAATCGGTACTGATTGATGTGGTCGACGACAAGCTTTCCGTTGTTCACTCGTTCGTCGAGGTGCGCAGGTCGATGGTCGTCCTCGAACGTCGGGGGCTCGGGTGAATACGAGAAAAGTTTCGCCAAATCGCAAGACAAAGGCCAGCTCAAGCAAAGGTAAAGAAAATGAAGGGGAAAGGGATCCGAAACAAAGTGTGGAAGAGAATGGTGGTGGTGGTCGAGAGGATGGTGACGACGGTGTCAACGTCAATAAAGGATCTCAGTGCCGTCCCTGATCAGGTCTCGACAGCCACACGGAGCGGATCTTGCCTGAGCAAACCTTGGCTGAGTGAGGGAATCACGTTGCTCATCTCGGTGCAGTCAGTCTCTACGTACGCAGGTTCATCGCTCGCTACACGCGCTGCGCCACTGGATGGAGAGGGAGGTTCCGATTTTGGCAGTGGGCCAAAGTGGTACGACGGCCGGATGGACGTATGCTTCATGCGAGCCCATGCGATCTGCACCTCGAGACGCTGCAGAGCACGCTATGCAAGCACGAGTGAGACCATCTCCGCAGGTGACGAGAGCTAAAATCGAACCGGAGAGCTGGTTCCGGGGGCCTCGTCAAGGGAGAACGATCCTCATGGCACTGCCGCCGTCGGCAGACAAGTGGGAAAGGGACGAGTCAGGGAGAGCGATGAGAAGCATGTAGATGGTGCGTGAACGCTCAGCTCCATCTCGTCATCACTGCAGGGGTACACTCTTTGCAATGACGAAGAAGCAGCGAGGGCGAGCGGGCGAAGCTGTGCAGTCGACGTGTTGCATCCTACACCGAACCGACGGCTGCACGGCCGAGTGCACTTGTTGAGGGTGTGTGGCGAGCAGCAAGGGACATGTCACAGCATGGATGACGGTCTGCATGGTGGCAGCGGTTAGAGCACGCAGAAGCCTGCACGCAGAAGTCTGCATCAAAGTCGGCCGGTGGAGCGGTGATATGGCGCCTAGGTTAGGTTCGGTTGCAGGTGGCGCCATCTTGGACACGCGAGCGTGGCGATCTGGTGGAGAGAATTTTTGGAATCCCAAAATTGTACTCTCTTTTCGACCTCACACCGCCAAATCGAAAAATCACTTCACGGCTTACGGAACGGCGACTTTGTGTCCGTGCGTCGGCGATCTGTGCATGAATCTTCCAATTGCAAGGACGAAGCTCAGACCTTCTCTTTCCCACCGCATACAGTCCACATCTGTTCAAGACAGAAGGCATCACATCATCATGTCGACATTGGACAAGAGCAAGGTCGACTACTCGGTCTACTTGGTGACGGGTCGGGAGCTACTGCCACCCGGCGTCGATTACTACGAATCGCTCGAGCGCTGCCTCGCACACGGCCATGTGACTGTAGTGCAGATCCGCGAGAAGGATGCCGAGACAAACGAGTTTCTCGAGATCGCGAAAAAGTCGCTCGCCATCTGCGACAAGTACAGCGTGCCGATGCTCATCAACGACAACCTCTCCGTGTGTCTGTCGCTGCCCGAACGCGTGGGACTCCACATTGGCCAGGAAGACATCCCGGTCTCGGAAGCGCGTCGCATCCTCGGCGACAAGCGTTTGCTCGGTATCTCGGTCAAGACGATCGAACAGGCCGCAAAAGCAAGACAGGAAGGTTTCGCGGACTATGCTGGCGTGGGACCGTGCTACGGCACGCAGAGCAAAGCAGGGATCACCGAGGACAAGGTGATCGGCATCAGCGGAGCGCAGAAGATCGTCGCGGAGCTGGCGAGGGGAACGCGCAGAATGCCATGCGTGCTCATCGGCGGCCTCAACCAGAAGACGGCGGCGAGGACGCTGTTTGGGGCCACGAGCAGTGACAATGCGCCTGACGGCATTGCGGTCATCTCGGCCATCGTGGCGAGGGCAGACTCGGACAAGGCAGCGGAGGAACTCGCGCACATCGTGCGCGCCTACAAGGTCGGCCTCGATGCATCCGCCTCGATCTACGACACATGGGGCCTGTCTTCTGCTTTTGCGCTTCCTCCCGAGTTGAATGCCAACGCACACGATGCGGAATGGTACAAGAACGCCGCAGCCGATCTGCTCGGCTTGCACCGCCAGGGCGTCCACGGTCCGCCTCTGATTCAGACCATCACGTCGCACGTCTCGTCGACCATGTCAGCCAACCTGGCACTCGCGTTCTCCGCATCTCCCATCATGTCGCACGAAGCTGCGGAGGCGGCGGATCTGAGCCGAGCAGTGGGAGCGCTTGTGCTCAACATCGGTACGATCTCGCCGGCGTCGCGCGAGGGCATGTACGTGGCTGGAACGTCTGCGAACCGAAACCTCAAACCCGTGGTTCTGGATCCCGTTGGTGGTGGTGCGACGCAGTTCCGCAAAGACGTCGTGCGCGGCATCCTGAACCACACCCAGGTGACACTGCTCAAGGGCAATGCGGCCGAACTGGCGAGCATTGCCGGAAAGTCGGACGAGGTCCAATCGAGAGGCGTCGATTCCGGTGCGGGCCAACTCAAGGATCCCGTAGGTCTGGTCAGGCATCTGGCTCGTACGGAGAGGTGTCTGGTGCTGCTGTCGGGCAAGACCGACTATCTCACCGATGGCGAAACGGTCATTGCGAGCACGAACGGTCATCCGCTCCTGGGTGCCATCACGGGCTCCGGATGTGCACTCGGCGTTACGGTTGCTACAGGTCTGGCTGCAGCTTGCAACAAGGCCAAGGACGAAGAACCGGCGATCTCGCTAGGAAACACGATGGTCGCGCATGGAAAGGTCGACCTACTGGTGGGCGCACTCATGGGTCTGCTGGGTATGACCATTGCCAGCGAAAAAGCAGCCAGAAGAGACGACGTCAAGGGCCCAGGCACTTTCATCGCCGCACTCCAGGACGAACTCGCCGCGGTCTCGCCAGAAGACATTCGCGCCCATGCCCAACTCGAAGTCGTACCCTAGCCTTCATAGCGTATACAGCACAGCACAGATCTCCAGAGACGTCTATTTCAAAGTGTGTATTTGCGCCCCAAAGCCCAGCTTTCTAAGTTTGAATCGCCCGCGCCTACTGGATCTCGCCACTGGCTTGAGCGTCGAGGAAGTCCTTGTGCAGCTTGGTCTGCTTGTCCCAGTCCTTCTCGAGGTTCTTGCGGCGTTTCTTGGCGAGGTCGGCGCCCTCCTTGTCCTTGGTGGGGATGCCTCGCTCGTCCCACTCGCTGTACTCGGCGGTGCGGAAGAGCTGCTCGGGCGCCGTCCTGCCCTTCTCCAGGTTCTCGAGTCGCTTCAGACGCGCCTGTTCGGCAGCCTGAGCCTTCCTGGCCGCCTTCTCGGCCGCGGCCGCCTCCTTCTCGCGCTTGGCAGCCTGCAGCTGCGCGGCGGGAACGAGCTTGACGAGCGCCTTGCCGTCCTCGGTATCCTCGAGCGCAACACCGAGGTCGACGAGGTCGTTGTCGCGCAGTGCATCCGAGAGCTTGAGGTAGTCCGACGCAGGTGCACCGGAGCGCGCGAGTTTGCGCACCGCGTCGCGAAACGTGCTAAGCGCACGCAGATACGGCAACAACAGCTCCTCCTTGTTGACTGCCGAGGCGCCGTCGACCGAGTCGTCAGCAACACCCCAGCCGAGGTCGCTGGCCGCCGAGAGCGCAGCGCCCTCGCCGAGGCCGAGCATCTTGAGCATGTCGCCCGTGTAGCGCGCGACGGCGGTAAGCACGCCGAGGTTGACGTCCGCACGCTTCTCGTGGCTCTTCTCGTAGACGTTGGCCCTGCTCACGAGGTCCAGCAGCACCTCCATGCCCTTAGGCGTGTCGAACGAGTCGCACATGGCGAGGCGGAAGGCATGCTGCGCGTCCTCGAGGCTCTGCATGAGCGCCTTCTCCTTGTCGCCGTAGTGGTGCTGTCCGTCCGAATAGCCGTCACCGAGCGCCTTGGCTTCGGCGACCTTGGCCTTGATTCCGACAAAGAAGTTGTTGAAAGCCGCCTCGGCGTTCTTGACCTCGCCGAGCGCGGACTGCTTAAAGTCCATGCGGCCGTGCCACGGCTGGAGGAGGAAGGACATGCGCAGCTGGCGCGCGGTGAAGCGCTCGAGCGCCTCGTCGATCGAGATGAAGTTCTTGAGCGACTTGGACATCTTGAGGCCCTCGATGTGGAGGTGGCCGGTGTGGAGAAAGTAGTTGACCCACTGCCTGCAGCCGTGATGCGCCTCGGACTGTGCGATCTCGTTGTCGTGGTGCGGGAACATGAGGTCGACGCCGCCCGAGTGGATGTCCATGGTCTCGCCGAGCACGGCGGAGCCCATGACGGAGCACTCGATGTGCCATCCGGGACGGCCCGGACCCCACGGCGACGGCCACGCCGGCTCGCCCGGCTTGGACGACTTCCAGAGCGCAAAGTCGGACGCCGCGCGCTTGCCCGCCGTGGCGGTGGTCGAGGTGGAGAGCGAGCCTTCGCCCTCCTCGAGCAGCTCGCGGTTGCCCTTGGACCAAGGCTGCAGCTTTGCGTACGAGTGGTCGAAGCTGCCGTCGGAGCTCTTTGCGCCGTCGAAGGCGCGCGTGTCGAACCAGACGTTCTTCTTGTCAGCGTCGAGGCCCTCGGCGTAGGCATAGCCGCGGTCGATGATCTGCTGCACGAACGTGACGATCTCGGGCACGTATTCGCTGACGCGGGTGAGCGTGGTGGGTGGCTCGACGTGGAGTCGCTTCATGTCGTTGAAGAACTGCGTCTCCCAGTAGGCGGCGGTGTCGCGGAAGACGGCGGGGTCGGTAACGGTGCTGCCGAATTGCTTATCGAGGAAGGCGGCTAGCACATCCTCCGAGGCGTCGATGAGATTTGATGCAGCCTCGGGGGATGAGTCGCTGGCAGCAAGCGACATGGCGGCGGCGACCTGCGCCTGTCGCGAGCGGTCGAGAGCTGAGAACCACATGCCGAACTTGGGCTCCTTTTCGGAGGCCGTCTTGAGCCAGGCGGCATCCTGACGGAGGCGAGCGATCTCTTCAAAGCCAGCCTCGCCAGCTCTCGCCTTTTCGGCCTGGTCGACGAGACCGCCCTGCTGCTCTTGTGGAGGCACGGGTGGGGCGAAGCGCTCGAGATTCTTGGCAAAGTAGGCAGACCAAGCGTCCTGGATGGTCTGAAGGAGCGGCTTTGTGAGCTGCGGATGCTGCGCGCGGAACTGGCGAACGAGATGAGAGTGTCGAGCCTTGATGATGATCTTGTCGTCGATATCGGTGATGTTCATGACAAAGTGGACGTCGTAGCCGAGGTAGTCGCGGAGGATGCGGCGGATGATGTCCTGGGTGACGTAGTTACGTGCGTGGCCCATGTGGCTGGCGTCGTAGACGGTGGGACCGCAGTTGTACCAGGTGACGGTGCGGCCCTTTTTGGGGACGAAGGGCACCTTGGAGCGCGTGAGCGAATTGTACATCTTGAGCTCGGGCTCGGGCACCTGCTTCTGCGGAATCTGCCATTCTGGCTGCGAGATCTTGGCGCCCGCCGAAGAGGACGACTCGGGCTGTGCTGCTGCCATGACGAGGTTGGACTGGCGAGCGCAGCTGAGCGCGCGAACGATGCCTGGTGGATGTGGCTGGGCCAAGGGGCGTGCGGAAAGAGTGGAGCGAGTTGTTGGAGCGAGAGACGCAAGCAGAGAGGAACGAGAGGACAAGAGGGCGGCGCGAAAGAGGCTCGACATGCGAGGGTGGTGTATGGACTGCGACACGGCCTGCTCGTAGGATGAAGAGATGAGGCAAGGCGCTGTTGCTCTTGTGTTGGTGTCAAGGGTGTGGGTGAGTGTGCGTTGCTTCTTCCACGCCTTTTTTCGGGCGTGCCTGGCATGCTCTGCGCAGCTGGCAAAGAAGCTCTGACTCGGGAGTCGGCAGACTCGGCCAAAATCTCGAATCACGCATTTTCCCAGATGCGAGCCCGATCTCGATTGAATTGCGCACCGGCCGTGCGAGCGGGGGGTGTGACGCTTGTGTTGAGCTGGAGGTGAATGTGATTGGACAGACAGCGACGAGCATCGCTTCCTCCGACCAGCCAATCAATCTCGTCTTGTCGCCCACCGTCCTCGTCTTCGGCATTGCCGTCTGCCAGCTTCGCCTCCCATCCGTTCCTTTTCCAACTGGGCTGCTGCGGCAGTTTCCTCCCTTCCCATCGTCACTCTGGTCGCTCTCGCCCTCGGCGGTCCCGCAGTCGCTCGTAGCCCCAAAGGGCTCCTGCTCGGGGTGCTGAGTCGGCTTGATCCAGCCTCCACGCACTCTGGCACTCAACGGGCTGGCGTCTTCGGCGGACTGCACGACTCTGGGATCGCGGGTCGACGCGACAGAGCATCTCTCCACGTCTTCAATCGGCATCACGACCGCAAGAGTGAATATGGCTCCCACCGTGACTGCGCCACGCCAGGCTGGCACTGACGCTGGCCCTGATGCCACCGCCGTCGCTCCCGGCTCGCCGCAGTCATCCGCTGGCGCCTCAGCAGACATGGCGCAACCCATCCCTGAGCGATGGGACGGCCTAGATACCACCATCCTTGGCGACCTCGCGCGCAGAGGCCTCATGTCGACGCTCGACACCATCAAAGAAGCAAAGACGCTCATGCTCGACCCGTCCTTGGCAGGCCCCCTCGGTCTCGTCGCCGACGTATCCGGCCTCAAGCAACACGGCGTGGAAAAGATGTTCTGGCTCGAACCAGCATCCGCCGCGTTTGTCTCCAAGACCGACACCGCCCACTCCCAGGCGCTCTCCAAGGCGGGCCTCAAGAGCGTCAATGCTCCCACAAAGTCCGTCGTCTACATCTGCCGTCCCGAGATCAAGTGGATGAAGGCTATTGCAGGTAAGTTGTGCACCTTCTTTCGTTCGTCTCGTCTCGCTTCTCCTTTCTCCCCCTTCCGGTGGCTCTGGTTCGCCCATCCCACCTGGACTAAATTAGCCGAGCCTACTAGATCTCCTCAACGATAGGCATGCGGTCAGTCAATGTCCAAAGAACAAGGAGACCTTCCTGACAAGGATGCTCCCAACGAAGTCCCTTCCTCAAACAACACCGCCCTGCTTTACGCCTCCACGGGCGCGGAGTTGTGCCGGGAGGCGACATTTCCCCTCGACTCCCCCTCTCTCCTTTTCCTCTTTCCTTTCCCTCTTCCTTCCCTACCCGCAGCGAAGATCTTGAACGGCAGCAGCTGACCTTGTCACCCCGTCGTCACGATTACGTGCCCAAAGAGCACCTGCGCGCGGATCGCAGCGTGCGTCCCACCTCGCCCCTGCAGCACACCTACACCATCTCTTTTGTTCCGCACAGGACCGAGCCCTGTCTGCAGTTCCTCGATCAAGAGGGCGTGCTTTCGGACGTCTCGCTACTTGACTTTGGTCTCGAGTTCGTACCACTCGATCACGATCTCATCAGCCTCGAGGACGACGCTGCCTGGAAGAAGATCTATTGCGACGGCGACCACACGCCCATCTTCCGCTCGGCACAGGCGCTCATGACGCTTCAGCACGCCTACGGCCTCTTCCCACGCGTGCTGGGCAAAGGCGCTCTCGCACGTCGGCTCGCCGATCTGCTCATCCGGCAGAGGCGCGAGCACCTCGCCTCGGATCCCTCCAACCCCGCGCTCACCACGCCGAGCCAGCTCGTCGACAGCCTCATCATCATCGATCGCTCCGTCGACTACGCCACACCGCTCTGCNCCCGCGCTCACCACGCCGAGCCAGCTCGTCGACAGCCTCATCATCATCGATCGCTCCGTCGACTACGCCACACCGCTCTGCACCCAGCTCACCTATGAAGGCCTCGTAGACGAGGTGGTCGGCATCAGCAATGGCCACGTCGAGGTCGACCCTGCCCTGCTCACGGGGCAGGCGCAGCCGCCCGGTGGAGGCATGGGCGCACAGCCGCACGCATCGGGCAGCGGTACGCCGCTGCAGATGACGTCGACGCCCAAGAAGCGCAAGCACCGGTTGGACGCCTCGACCGACGTGCTCTTTGGCGAGATCCGCGACCTCAACTTCGCCGTCGTTGGCGACCGGCTGCACCGCGCCGCCAAGCGGCTCAACCACGACTACGAGGGGCGCCACCAGGCCAAGACCGTGTCGCAGATCCGCGCGTTTGTGGGCAAGCTGGGCGGGCTGCAGTCGGAGCACGCGTCGCTGCGGCTGCACACGGGCCTCACCGAGAAGATCATGGAGTGGACCGCGCGCGAGGAGTTCAACCGCATGCTCGAGGTGCAGCAGAACTCGGTGGCGGGCCTCGAGCTCGGCGCGCAGTACGCGGCGATCGAAGACATGATCAACGAGGAGCGCGACCTGCTCGGTGTGCTGCGGCTGCTGTGCCTCACGAGCGTCGTCGGACACGGCAGCTCGGCGGGTGGGATCAAGCCCAAGAACCTCGAGTTTGTCAAGCGCGAGATTCTGCAGACGTACGGCTACCAGTATCTTCCGCTGCTGCTGGCGCTGCAGAAGGTGGGTCTGCTCACGCGGGCTGCGCCCGGCGCGGCGGATGCGGGTGGCGGCGTCGCAGCTGGCTTTGGCGCGCTCACGAGCGTCGTGGGCGGCGGATCGTCGGCGGCGGGTGGCGCGGCAGCCGGCGATGGGAAGGACGAAGGCGGACGCGGCGGCTTTGCGTCGGTGCGCCGAAGTCTGCGCCTGATCAACGACGATGTGGACGAGCGTGCGCCGAGCGACATTTCGTACGTCTACTCTGGGTATGCGCCGCTGTCGGTGCGTCTGGTGCAGGCGGTGGCGCAGAAGGAGGCGCTGCTGGACGCCGGGCGTGCGGCCAGTACGGCGCTGCGACCGGGCGGACGGAGTGTGAAGCCGCGCGCGCATCCGATCGTGGGCTGGCGCGGCTTTGAGGATGTGGTGGGGCAGCTTCCCGGACCGACGTTTGACGAGGTGCAGTCTGGAGCCGCGGGGCTCGGCGGTAGCGACACATCGACGACAGGTGCGGCGGCGACGATGCCGTCGGATCCGGACCAGGTGACGACGACGCTGGTGTTCTTCCTGGGCGGAGTGACGCATACGGAGCTGGCGGCGCTGCGGTTCATGAACGGCCAGACGCGCAACCGGCGCTTTGTGGTGGCTACCACCAACACCATCAACGGCAACGAGCTCATCCGCAGCCTGAGTTCGGTGCCGCTCTAACTTGACCCGAACATGGATATACCCCTGCATCGCATTGCATTGCATCCAATGTATTTGTACTTTGACTTTGAGCTGTTGTGATTGAGAGGCTATTTGGGAAGGTAGCGGATGTTCTGGGTGGGGCAACGGTTGTCGCCGGTGAGTGGATCGACCTGGACGAAGGTGTCTGCACTGGTGGATCTTCCGGCGGTGTGAAAGTAGATCCAGGCTTCGTTGAGGGCGCCGCTTCGGCATCGGAACGAGGCTTCTTTGCCCCACTTTTGGCGCACTGCATCTTTAAGCTGCTGCAACGAGTACCTTGCATTCACGTCCGGCTTGATGCCTGCCTCCTCGAGAGCCTTGAAGACGTTGTACTTGTCAAACAGGTCAGTGGTAGTTGAGAAAAAGTCGACGATGTCTTGATGCTCGCTAAAGGCGGATTTGGGGTAGCATTCCGGGTTGAGGGTTGAGACGCAGGTGCCGTGTTTGTTCCACTCGTGCGACCAGAGTTGAGCATCGTTTCCATTCAGCGCCAGCCAGTACTGGTTCATCGTATCGAGCGCCTTTGCAGCTCGAGGATCGGAGGACGATCGAAGGGCTGCGGCGATATTGTTATTGTTGCGCGACGAATCGCAGTCGGCATCGTAACCGCCAAGGCACTTATCGGCCCAAAGACCATGGATCGTCCATGAATCCGAAGGTCCGATCGCGGGGTGAAAGTCCCAGAACTGCGTCAGTAGCAGAAGGCCACCGGGAGTGTTGGTCGTGCAGGGGTCGGTGGGGCAGGTGGGAAGCGTGGCGCACGAAAGACACGTGTCGAGTGCAGAGGCGAGCGAAAAGGGCGCCTGCATGGAGGCAGCTCGGGCCAAAGCAGCCGCGGCCAACAGCGCGAGTGTTTGAACATGCATGGCGGCGACAAAGACGGTAAAGCGGAAAGAGATGCAATGTGGGTGAGTGGGTAGGTGGGATGAAGGTGGGTGGGGAGAAGAGGCGCGCGGGGGAGGCTGATAAGGATGT